TGCTCAGCTTACCCTGACTTCAACGATACATTCGGTATCCACACGGATGCGAGTTATACTCAACTTAGGTGCAGTTAATTTCCCAGAAGGGGAAAACCATATTGCGTTCCTTACAGCAGGAAGCTCAACACTGCTCAGACATGTTACACAGTTACCGAGAGGGAACTTCTCAGTATCGTAGAAACTCTTAAATAGTTCCGTAACATTCTTATGGGACATAAGATCGTTGTACATACGACCCACAAGAATCTTACATGTAACAACTTCAATACCAATCGCGTAATGCGATGGCGACTTATTCTGGAAGAATACGGCCTGGAAATACGGCTACATCAAGGGCGAACAGAACATCGTGCGCTGATGCGTTGTCGAGGACTTAACTCATCTCCAACAACTACGGCTCTTCAGAACAGAGGACGACAGCGAGATCGCTGAGATCATGGTTGCAGACGAAGAGGACTTTTCCCTACACGATGTTCCCTCTCTCGTTTCCACCGAGATCGTTAACATCGTAGATAAGACGACAACGATAACAAGAACTTCCTCAGGGACAAGCCAAACGCACAAGAAGCAATCTTTTCCCCAGAGGGGATATAGTCTTACAAGATTAGTAGTTAGGACGATAAGATCGTCGACCTAGACTATGCAGAAGATAGCTAGTTCGATGGTACATGGTGTGCTGTTGCATCCTGCTGAGACTCGCACAGAACTAACCATCAGCCACACCTCACCTGGAAAGGTACTGCGCAATACTGTGCAGGCCGTATGTACGCGTTGCAAAGCTGCCAGTATGTAACAAACCCAAGACGGTAAGCTGAGATTGTATGGCTCCAAAGACTTGGGAGGAGATCCCTTGGGAAAGAACTATGTATTGACCTGATAGTTCCATACAACGTCGGGGATCCAAGAAAAGAATTCCTGCACATTCATTGCTTGACAATGATTGGATCCCGTAACCGGATGGTTGAGATTGCCGAGATCTGCTCCTAGCAGCAGACGAAGTAGCCTTCGTCCTAGAACAAACGTGGCTTTACTCGGTATCCATGGCCTGCTAGCGGCTGAGGTTATCATGGATAGAGGACGTGAGTTCCGCGCAGAGGTCGAGAAGACTCTCCGGGATGAATATGGACTTCGTCGCAAGTTCATCACCACGCGCAACCCTCAAGCCAACTCCATGGTCGAGCGTGCTCATCAGACCATACGCAACTTGATCGCTGTTCAAAACATCAAGTGCCAAGACGACCTCGTGAACGGATCCTGGGATGGAGTCCTCACGGCGGTTCGCTTCGCAATGAACGCCACGATTCATACCACCTTGCGTGCAACGCCTGCACAGCTCGTGTTCAACCGTGACGCGATTCACAACGTCCGTTTCGAAGCAAACTGGAAGTACATCAAGGAACGTCGCCAACGACTCATCCAACAGAACAACGATAGGGAGAACGCGACGCGTGTCCCTCATCAATACAATGTCAACGATACCGTGATGATTCAACAGTATCAGCACCGCAAGTACGGTCAGCCAAAGTACAAAGGTCCTTACACTATAGACCGAGTCAATGACAATGGCACTGTACGGCTCCAACATGCTACCGCCAATGGCGGCACAGTCTACCAGACTTGGAACATAAGGTATATACACCCATACAAGGCCTGATCCGCTTGTAGGATTGCCATCGTGCGATGCACATGTCTACATCCAATCTCATGAGAGTGCCCCGCACTTTAAATCATATGTTCTCCTTGTCCGACTGATGTCGTGCCTTCTGTGACCCTTGTCAGGGGGCGAAAATGCACTACGCTAAAAGCTAGTGTAAAGATCTTTCGAGTGTTTTGAGTTTGAGAGAATGAAAGTTATGAGAGGATTAGAAAGCTATGAAAACTAATCAACGAGAGAGATCACAATCAAGGGATCGTAGATCTGAACTCCCGCGGGAGACTGTAAAGTGTGATAGAGTAGGTTGTGGTAGTAATCCTACTCGTTCCACGATCCAAAAACGGAACGCGTGGAAGATTCGTCTAGCATTTATCTAGTAGCGTGGAATCTCTCCACGCCAGCTAAATATCTAGCGCGATGTTTCACCATCGACCTAGTATGACTAGCGGTCATGAGAACCCTGTCTCAATGACTATTCACGAGAGACTCAGTCATGAGTCGAACTCAAACCCTATCTAGGATCGAGTCGCGAATAAGGCTAAGAGCCGTGTATTGCAATTTATTCCTACCCCTAAATTTGTAGAACCTTCAATTCCAGTTTTGTTGGCTTACGCCTATCTCTACCCCTATATTTTGGCTTCACCGGAACAGGAAACATGAAATTCGGGTTTTTTCAGTGCTCGTCTCCGTACGACTGTATCCTTTAGCCAACATGTTTTGCCACTCAGATTCGGCTTTGCTCGCCACACTCCGATACCCGTATATGATGACAACTACATGCAAAACGGAATATTATCAATCCAGCCATTATAGCCGGCAGCCCTGCCGCATAGTTACATCGGCCATAGTGGTGGCCAACAGTACCGAACACACTCAGGTTCAGCTTTGCTCGCTACACTCCATTACGGGTACCTCACATTGGATCCTTATGATGACAAATACATGCACAACAGAATATTGATAATCTAGCCATTTTAGCCGGCTGTCGCATAGTTCCATTGGCAACAGTGACAGCCAACAGTACCGAACACACTCAGGTTCAGCTTTGTTCGCTACACTCTGTTACCGGTACTTCAGATTGGATCCTTCCGATGACGAATACATGCACAACCTAATATTGACAATCCAGCCATTGTAGCCGGCTTTGGTATAGTTACATCAGCGAAAGTGGCAGCCGACAGTACTGAACACACTCGGGTTCGGCTTTGCTCGCTACACTCCGATACCAGTGTATGATGACGACAAGATGCACAACGGAATATTGTCAATCCAGCCACTGTAGCCGGCTGTTGCATAGTTACATTGGCGACAGTGGCAGCTAACAGTACCGAACACATCCTTCTGATGACAAATACATGCACACCCGAATATTGTCAATCCAGCCATTGTAGCCGGCTTCGGTATAGTTACATTGGCGACAGTGGCAGCCAACAGTACTGAACACACAGGTTCGGCTTTGCTCGCTACACTCCGTTACTGGTATCTCACATTGGATCCTTATGACGAGTACATGCACAACAGAATATTGTCAATCCAGCCATCTTGTAGCCGGCTGCCGCATAGATAAATCGATGACAGTGGCAACAATACCGGACCTAAGTGTGTTCGGCTTTGCTTGCTACACTCCATTAGCTCACGGAACCTTACAACGAGTACAGGGATTCTGTCAATCCAGGTGCCAAAAATACTGTTCACACAGCACAATGGGTATCGAAACAGGAATCACCAACAAAACACTAGGAAATAACAAGGAGGGATGAATCTGGTAGGAAGATCCACTCTCTTGTGTGTTGTCGAGTAGCGTAGCCTCCTCTTGTTGCTTCACTGACTCGAGGACGATCTGTTCAGGCTGTTGATAGGGCTGGAGTTATCGATCGATCGAAGCCTCTTCCTCATTATTCTGGAGCAATCGTTCGTTTGTTCGTTCGAAAAGGCTTCGGCAATGATATTTCATCGGCCGTCGGCAGTGCAGCAGAGAAAAGAACAAATAGATATGAGTTTTGCTTTTTGTGCTGAACTGCAGACGATCGGAGACTTACCCGTGTTTTTTCAAATTGCACCAACTTGGTCGGCATGGGACGGGAACTGACTACCTTCTCGCGCTGCATAGAAACTCAATGAGGGAAGGCTTTCAAATCTACACCGGAGACGGTCGGCTTTGAGTGAGGCTTGATAATAGAGGTGCGATCGATTGACTGTCACTTGAATAATTAAACAGTTTACCTGTTGACAGCCGAGATCTGACTGCCTTCCCGCGGTCCATAGAATTGAATGAGGGATGGCTTTCGAATCTACACCTTCAATAATACTCTTGAAAATTGGCTTACCTCGTACCGTACCAGCGGTTCGATCGATCCAAAACCAATCTTGGCGGCAAAGCTCGGATTTCTCTCCTATTTACCATAGAATCCAGTGCGGTGGACTTGGGGGATGTACTACGGTACGGTAGTAGGTACGTCGAACGGAAGCGTCCCTTCCAGTGCCATTGTCGAGGCGTCGCTTGTTATTGCGGTCGCTCCGTGGTAGTAGCACTCCGTTCGCTCATGAAAGAGGCGTCATGGTCGATCGCTCCGTGGCTGGAAGAAGAAAGAAGTCATCCGTCGGCCGATCGATCGAACGAAAGCAGTCAACGACCGATCATCGAACGGCTGCCGCTACCAACCAAACAAGAGGAGCCTGTCATAGTGGTGAGTAGTAGCATTTGTTAAGAGGAGTAGCCGCTGTAGAGGAGATAGCATCATCTTGATAGAGTCAATAGAGAGTAAAGATAGAGGTATCGATTAATGAAAGAGAAAAGAGGTGTATGAGCGGCTTGGATCGATCGATCGATCCGAGTGATGTCAGTTAAGATTAAGGTTAAGGCTATATGTCCCTTAAACCTTTTCACAGAACGTTCCAAGAGATTCCGGTGCGCATTCGAATGTCTTACCGGGAGTGGGCTTGCGTTTGCGTCAATTGATCCGAGTCTGCTGGTACAGTCGTGCGATTGGATGGAATCCTCGGTAACTCAGTTTAGCCTTAACATTAGTAACTTCAACGGTTCTTTTTATCCACGAATCGATCTAAATCTTTTGAAGAGAACCTGTTACTTAACGATACACATGACCGTTGCTGACGTGCCGCTACTCTATTTTACACAGTAAACGCCGGCAAATCGATTTCAGAGTGCAACTGAGGGGGTAACCAAAAGGAGTGTCGTCTCAGGTGACGTAACAGGAAGCAGGAAACAGGAAATACCAAAAAAGGGGGTGAGGGCTCAGGCAGATAGACTGCCGAGGTAAAAACTATCATAGATGTACATGTACATGTAGCATGGCTTATGTCATTCATTTTTCTCTCCCAAATGAGCAAATCAAAAGCAACCCAAGACAAACCGAAAGGTCCGCCCTCGTTTGAATGGGAATCGGTCTTGACAGATGGTCGAGTGAAGTCTGTTATCCAAGGCGAAGATGCCAATGCTGGGGTATTCCGAAAAAATACCCTCCAACTCATCAAAACCTGTTCCTCCTTGTTATTGAGAAAGGTGGTACAACAGAGCTCTCTTCACAAACAACCACACACAAATGATAAGAACGGGCCATCGGTACTAGTCTTGTCGGCTCGGGATCTCAAGGATGGTGTCGCTGATCAGGAGGAGGACGAATCGTTGGGGTTTTTGCAAACGGCGCTGGAAAATGCTGCCGCGGCAGACACTGGCAAAATGGCACGGCCGAAAGCCAAACGAAAACAGCCACCACCTGCAACGGACAACAACAAGCCTCGTAACAAGAAAAGCAAGACAGCAGTGGTGGAGGAAGAGTCAATACAACAAGCACTGGAGATATCGCAGCAACAAGGCGCAACTACAGCTCATGATCACAGCACATCAGAAGACAAAATTACACTAGACGAAGAAGATTACGACTAGTATTTAAATAAGGGTTTGAAGAAGGAGACTGGAGCTTCGTTGATTGTCGCGTGGAACCTTCTTGTCTGTAAAATCACAGGTTGTTGTCAATCGTTTATTCCATGGATACACGTCCAAAAAACATACATTTCCACCCTGCAGTAGGTTATCCCGCTTTTACCTACCCAGGAGTGGTTGTTTGGTTGCAAAAAGAAACATTGTGTTGCCGGAAGGCAGCTGCCCAAAAGTACCGGTAGTGGGGGGACGGTACGGCCCTAAACACTTCCGGGGTAGATTTCCGACCAAATTTGCCTCATCCTTGCCGATAAGTCAGGGTGGTTTTGTTGAAACTCAGCAGGCTTTTCGGCAAACAGCACCAAGACAGCATTCACAGAACTGGCAATGACACTCATCAGGATACTGCACAATACCACACCAATGATAAAGCCCAAACCAAACGCCATCAATTTCGAATCTCCCGGATTATCTTCGTCGATCCAACCAGCCAACCACTCTATTAGGATACCCAAAGCTCCCGTCAGACCACCAACCACGAGACTGACCAGAAACAGCGTGTTTCCAACTAAATCATCGGCAATAATCGATTCCCAACCACGGTTGGCGAACAACTGCATCACGTTGGATCCAGATTCACAGTAGCCCATGCCATAAACGCCAACATAGATGAATGCCCACTGCAGAACAGAACAGAACATCACAACAAAGAAAGGAAGCTTTAGTCAAAAATCTGTCTGTGAAAGCAATCACACATCCATCGACTGACTACTACTGAACACACCTTGTTGAAGTATTCAATCAAACCTTGGATACAAGCCAGAATGCACTCAGCGAGACAAAGGAGTATTCCATCATCCTGAGACCGGGCGGTATTGGCCAACGCTCGCAAGGCTTGGATAATGGCCACCAATAGCGACCCAAAACAAATCGAACCAAAACTGGTGGTCAAGGATCGCTTCAAGCTATCCCAGATGGCCGAGGAACAACAAGAACTGGCTTCATCTGGCGCAATCCACCAAGTAGCAACCACACCAGCAATGGTAACGTGGATTGTGTTCTAATAGATAGATGGAAACGTTTGTGGTTCAAGAATGAGAGAATGCAAGAGACACAGCCATCCTAGCATGACAGGGAGACATACCTGAAAGACTTGATGACCGAAGAAGTATGCCAAGAACAGGAGAAACAGATATCCATACCCTGAACCTGAAACAGTACAACCGGTTCTAGTTTCGTAGTTAGTACACGTGTAGGCAGAATCGAAAACTCCCAGCATGGCAATGGCCCAGATAAAGGACCAGAAACAAGCAATGATGGCTATTTAGAAGAAAAAGGAGATGTTAGCAACGCTGATAATAGTTCCAATTGGTCGTCCCAGCTTGATGTATAACTCACTAAAGATATAAGCAGCAACCGTGATTCCGCAGTTGGCCTTGACTGCTGTAATGGCTGTGACGAGATTGATGGTCGCAAAAGGGATTCTCGACCATACGCAATACGCGTAACAGCAGGTCAACAGGAAGAATAGAACTCCCAAAATGGCTGCAAACCAATTCGAATTCAGGAAAGCCACAACCATCACGAATGCCGACATGATCACAGTGAAAATGAGTGATGCCTTGATGAGGGTTTCCGGAATACACATCATGACTTGGAGTCCGAGGCCGGACAGGATCAACCCCACCACACCACCAAGAAGGGCAGAATAATAGTATCCTTGATATTCTTCCGAAAAGTATTGATTGTTCAAGGCACCTTCGCCGCGGAGGATGGCCACTGCTACAATCGCAATGATGTCAACGTAAAAGAGAGGAGCAAATAGGGGATCTTGACATTTTGCCTGTTGCTCATGGTGCTGGACATTGGTAGCACTGCCATAGTTCACTTCTTGGCCTTGGACCACCACAGGTTCTGCCATCTTGCTTTAAAGCGCTTCGCAGAGTTGAGTGATAAGTTGTTTGTTTGTTGTAGGTTAGTTAGTTTGTTGCAGTATTAGGGCGTTTATGGGATCTCAAGGAACTGGTGAAAGTTGGAAATAATGATACCCTTGATGCCAGATAGATAATAATACCCAGCGGTGTCTTGAACGGTTCTGTATCGTGCTTGCTATAGTCTTTTGCTGACAGGCCAGGCTAGCTAGTACTACAAGTAGCTATGTTTGGTTGCCCCCTTGATCAAGCTGCCTCAATCAATCGGAATGGTCTTTCCTGCTTGTTATCTTCTTTGCCCTCCCTCCGGGGTCTTGGCGAGTGGAGGTTATCTAAAGATTGTACATAAGTGTCTATACAAGATTAGCAGTGTGACGGATTGTACTGTAGTTTGCAATACTTAGGCAGATTCAAATTTTCACTCCTAACTCCATGCGTCAGTTTCATTCTTGTAGAAGGTTCGAAGACTTAGCGACGTACTCTACTGGTCACGCATCTTCTGATCGTCCTCACAATTTGATCTCCGTAGAGGTTCGCGACATTGAGATGGAGGGAGCCAACAGTTGAAGCTATCATTACAACTACAAAACTATGAGAATCAACATAGTAAGTCTTTTCAAAGTGTTGTAGATAAGAGTTTTACCCCTACAATGAGTTAAGGGCTACCCCAGGTACAGCTTTGAGTGCAGGTATGTTTTGCTGGAAGCAGGAGAGGTCCAGCATCCCAGTTTCAGGTCCTTGAAATGTGTGGCAGTAAGTAGCTTTGACACTCACAGCTTGGAACAACTCATCATGAGTGGAAGTGCCAAGCCCATGACTCCTGATATGAGTTGCATCCTTGATAGCTTGGAATCTTGGGGGTATTTCCATAACATTGAGTGGTACAGTATTGTCCTTGACATGCTAGCCACCATGTTTGAAGAGGACCAACCTACAAGCAAGGAGAAGATTTACAAGCAATGCATTTACTGGAGAGTTAGAAGCAGGGCCCATGCACATGAAAACTTTGAGTATGATTCTCTTGGCCATGATGCAGTTTTGACTTACTGGTCTGACTGGTTTGACAGGACCTATCCAATTGTCAAAGTCTCCTTCAGGGTAATGACACTGATGAGTGAGGATTTTGTTAGTGACATCATTACCTATGTGCAGACAAGAGGAATTGTTCCTTACCCTCCCAACATGGATGGACCTGACTCCATCACTAGCTCTGAAGATTGAGAGAGGAGGAGAATGAAAGAATGTTCTTTGTTGGTGTTTGTTATCCAGTTAGTGTCAAAGTAACAATGATAGTAGTCAGTCAAAACTTACAATACACAGTCTCTAACCAGTCAGCCACAGTGCTCTCTTGATCTTTGTGGATGGCATTCTTGCAGTTCAAGCCCATAGGACAGTTTACATGGAACTCTTCTCTCTGCTTGCATCTACCACAATAGTTTCTCTTGCAAGTAGCTGCAACTCCCTCCACTGACACAACATGATCCCTCTTGAGGAAGCCACACCGCTTGCAGTACTTCCTGCTCTTGAACCGCTTCCTAATTGGTCTTTCAGGAGCTGTTGCTGGTGGTACAGTCAAAGCAACTCGAAAAGCAGCATTTGTGGTGAGATTTGCAATTGCCGCAGCAGCGGCAACAGCCCCAGCAGCCACCTCGGCATTGAGGACAGTAGGATCGCCAAATGGAGTATCTCCATTATTGCTGTAAGCTGGAGGCTGGGTATCATGAATCCTTGGGGCTGCACTCTCTGGAAGGGCTCTTCTGTTGCTACGTAGAGTCTGGTCCAGCTGCTGTCGATCATCCTCATTTTCTGGTGCCGCTTGAATACTCTGGAGCTGTTCCAGCTTGTCGTAGTGCTGTTGAAGAAGAACTCTGCTTTTGTATCGTATTTGCACAACTGCCGAATCATCTCCATGAGTTGTCCACAACTTAAATCGTCTGGCCACTTCACCATTCCACTCTCGCTCGAAGTTCTTGAAACTGGTTGGTCCTGATTGTGCTGATCGGTTGAATCGAGTTACCCACTCATTGAAGAGTTCAATCTCTTCTCTGTCAATGTTGGTAGCAGGTATTGCACTGTCTGGTGAGCGAAATGGCAGCCACTCACATTGATTAGAGAGACGACGGAATGCTTGAAGGGTAGATTCCGGTGCGGTATCAGTTGGTAGCAAGCGATTGAGTTCATTCTCAATGAGTGCGCGATTGGCTCTGTCATTGGCTTCAGCTCTCTCCGCTGCATCATCCAGCGATGCCTGCTGTTCCGCTTGTGATCGGTCCTGCCTAGTGGCTTCTAAGTACTCTTCTTCACTGGCGAAAACCTCCACGTCTAATTCATCGCCAACTTGACTTCCAATAACTCTATCGATCTCTTGCTGTGACTGAGACACTTCCTCCTCTTCCTCGATTGCTGTAAGTTCAGCATCGCCCTGTTCTCCACAGTCAGAGTTGTACCCATCACCGGTACCATCTGCTGGATTTGACACTTCCTCATTTTCGGCAACTGAAACAGCTTGATAGTTAAACCCCATGTACTCAGCGACACAGTCAACTGGTCTCTTGGGAGCCGACAAGTCATAGGGAGGCTTCTCGAAACCAATCTTTTCAGCGTAGGAATTCAGCAAGAGCAGCTTCTCTGTATTTAGGATACCATAGTCAACAGCACCAAGGCGAATAACTGCCTTTCTGTCATTCTTTTCCTCGAAGAAACAGCACATAATGCGCTCTCCCCTTTGGATACCTGGTTATGTTACAGTGGCCAAAAATGAGAAAGTGAGAATGAGCGATACCCCAGACTTCAAGTAGAATCGCCAGTGTAGTACCGTACCAATGTGTTTGGCTAAGAGCAGGAGTGCTAGATCCAAGTTGTCACGTTCGTTTGTGTTGGTTCCTCTTGCAACGTAAGTTGTGTCAGTTTCGGGATTCCTTCTGAAGATGTCGACCAAGTCAGTAGGAGGGTCGCTGAGACACCCATTATCCACATGCACCATCTGCTTTCGAACAATGTCGGTCATCTTCCACTGCTTCATGAATAACTTGGGTTTTGGCGAAGTGTCGGTAGAAGCTCGACTGGATAACAGACAGTAGGTAGCCGCATCTTTCAACTGAACATAGCTGATAACTGCCTCGATGTTGCTTCGGAGAGTGGCCGGATCAGGAATAATAGATTTGGCTTCCTTCAATACCTCCTTAACAGTTGGTTCCCGCTTCAGCTTGGCTTCCAGCTTCTCCTTTGCTCTTTCATACTCATTCGGTGCAATGACAAATATTGCTCTGGACATTAGACCACGAAAGATACCTGCTTGGATGGATGAGGAGTCAACAAGAAGGTCATTCCATCGCTTCAACCAGTGAAAAGGATCAAGGAGAATGAGTGTGGAGTCACCGAAAGTCCTCTGTAGTATCTTGCGAACTGAACAGCAATTATCAACGTAGATCACCTTGACTGTATTCTCCAAAGGGCAAATTGCTGGTCGCTTCATTTGTTGGTGCCAGTTCATGTTCAGCCTATTCCGAAGACGCAACAAGTCAGCCTCAATCTCACTGAAGGATTCGGAGTGCTTCAAAGCCTTCCAGAAGACAGTCAACCCATCTTCGTTTTGGATGGTTACAATACACTTGAATGGCTGGAAGCTGCATCCTTGCTTGGTCCACACTCTTATCTTTTGGGCCAACTTATAATTGAAGTCAACCTTGAGCAATCTGGCTGTCAAGCCTCGCATCTTCTCTTCCTGGAAAGCTTTTCGGTGCTTGAATACACTGGTCACTAGGTTGTCGATTCGGTACTTTGACAGGACGCGACCATTATATCCCATTTTGTCACCGAATTCAGGAAAAGGAATCAGATTGCTTCCTCTTTCCACGGCCACAGCTTCTTCTTCAGCATTGTCCTCTTCTTCAATCTCATCAGGGTGATCCATTCGATACTGGCGCAAAGCATCCACAGAATCATTATACGCAGCCAGTGCCAAATCCACTTCCAAACTCCTTGTTTGCGCGACTTGCTTCAGAAGATCATAATGATTTTTGACAATCTTCTGCCATTTCTTGAGAGGCGCAATGGTGGTCCTGTACTGCTTTGGGTCAGCTGCAAGAAGCTCAAAGCATGAATTGATTCCTCTATCCAACAATTTGCGTATTTTGGTGGACCCAAGACTGCGCAAGAAGTTCTTGTGACCGTGGTGGTTGTGGTTGTCTTTCGAAGGTAGCATCGATTTAAAGTCCCAGTCGGTGGAAGCCTTGGACTTGGCGGATTCATAAATTGCCCTTGCAGACCTTACTTTGGAGGCTGCCTTGTTCTTTGTGTTCATCAATGCCTGGTAGGGCGATATTGGAGTATTGCTGGTTATTGGGAGCATTTCGCGAATTGTCTTCTGCTTTTTCCTTGGTCGGATCTTGTTCAGTCCTATGGCGGTAAGGTACAACTGGTGATCCTCATAATAAGCAACCCTGGCCAGCCGGATCAGTTTCTTGGCTGTTGTCGCGGTGGCTTCCTTGTAAGAACTCTCCACGATGAGGGTGTGGAGCTCTTCATCTACTGCATAGCCGTGGCCCAGGAAAAAGGTAAAAAACCCATAATACAGTGAAGAATCCAACTGCATAGACTCTTTGTTATACCCCGAAAACCGTCTACCACATCTAGTACATAGATAGAGCATGGTGTCCAGATAGCGGATTCTTGACACTCCATACAGAACCTTCGGGCAATTCAACCAGCGCGATTTCAATAAATCCACGGCATTCCTCTTCTTGCAGTGCGGGCAACAAGGAACATGGTTGGGAACCAGTAGATGGGGAACCCATGCAGCGATTGGTTTGATGCAGAAGCTTTCAGCGGTGGATTTGGTTCCACGCTGATCAAGGAGTAAGCTGTCGAATCTTCCTTTGGTGGGGACAATCCGTGACCAATGCTTCGGAGATTTGAAGAACCTTTCTTTCTCTAACACGATGGCCTCTCTAGTCTTCAGCAGAAACCTCCATTGGGGTTCCGATAGCTGCTTTGGTCTGCGTCGCTGTTGGCTCATGGTGATGTAATATTAACTATTAACTCCACGATACTATTTTGTGTCATTGGAGCGATTGCCGATTTACCGTTCAACTCTTGGGTAGGGTTAGGGGAACATATTTCGACTGTTCAATCGAAATTTCGATTTCTAAGTAAGAATATTTGGGAGAGTGCCGTAGAGTATACGAAAACTAAGTAGAGTTTAACATCGGAAAAGGACGTGTAGGAGATAGAGGACGAAGGATTTTATCTTCCACGTGGAGTCAATCTGGATAATGGGAAGCTGTGTGGCCGTCCCTAGGTCGCTCACCTCCTCCCCCCCTTTCTTTTTTCCTCCTAGCGAGAACCAACTTGCACGAAGACCGTGCTCTGGCTGGCTAGTTTGTCTTTCGAAGTTCGAGAGCTGGGGACGAGTGAGTGCACGGATTCGCAGTCGGTTCATAGGCGAAAGCGGGCTGGGGGGATGGATCGGATTGAGGAGCAGGAAACAGAAACATACATAACTATGAGCCTAGCTCAGCAGAGATTGGCCAGTGATTCCCCTAGTTTATGGAAATCTGCGAGCTTCAAAAGAAGCCCTTGGCAATGTGCTTCCAAATTGCACCTGACTTCATCCAAAGGCAGCGTCCTCCCAGGAAATGAAGAAAAATGAGTGTGAAGTCGAACACGGCTTTGGAAATGACCCAATAGCTGACCCAATGGAAATGGAAACATTTCATCTTGATGTGAGCCTGCTCTTTGAGCAACACAAAGAAAGTTGGGATACTCTACATGTCATAGACTAGACTAGCTTGCTGGATACGGTTCGTACCGTACCCTCTTTCGGTTTTGAGAGAGCCGAAACGACTTTTTTGACAACGGAAAGCTGGCTTGTAGCTATCATGAAGACTTCGAGAGAGTTCTTGGACCTTCGCTTGATGACGTCACTGTGCGAGGGTCTGAAACCTGCCCACAGCCGCCCCATGACCCAAGCACGATGACAACCAGCAGCCAAACAAGAGCAAAGTGAGTGGACACAGCGTTACGTTTGCCACCCAATCCCACCACAACAAACACAAAGACCACAACACAACCCAATTGAAGACACAAATTCGAAAGCAAACACTCAACTCAAACGAAGAAAGAAAGAAACCGACGATTACCTGAATCGAATCCACCAATCGACAAAGATGCCGCAACAATTTAATCCAGGGTCCGGACAAGACTGGGGTGCCGTCAATGTTGGCAAAGGGACGCTGGGAGCCAAATCCTCCAAGCCCAAGACTGCTCGTGGAATCGACATGGCCAAAGCTGCTGGACTGGTCGCCACGGAGAAGAAGTGCGTAGGAATGGCGTTTGATTGATTGACTGACTGACTGATAAGGGACTATTATGGCTATTTCTGCGCCTTCCTTTCTTTGTTTGTTGTTGTATCTAACCTTATTTCATTCCTCTCTCGCTCTATTTTTTTTAATTTGCAACGCGACAATTCATTCATTCAATCAATTATGTGACAACCACAGATACGGAGCCGGTGGCAACAAGTCGGCACACAGCCATGGTGCCTTGAGCGCCAAGAAACTGGAGGAAGCCGATGACGTTGGCAAAATTGCTCGCGTGGACAAATCCCTGAGCAAAGCCATTATGCAAGCTCGAACGGCCAAGAAAATGACTCAAAAAGAATTGGCCACTGCCATTAACGAGAAACCTCAAGTTGTCGCAGAGTACGAATCCGGCAAAGCCATTCCCAATCCACAGATTATCTCCAAGTTGGAACGCAAGCTAGGATGCAAATTGCCTCGACCCGGAAAGAGCAAGGCACCTCCCAAGGCAGGAGCCGGCGGAACCGCCGGTAAATCTGCAGGGAATGGCGTGAATCGGGGTGGTCCACCCAAGCGGCGGTAAACATTCTGTTTGAGCGAGCGAGCGACAAAAGAAAAAGAATGGCACTGCGATAGCTCTGACAAAAATGTGCCGGAGTAGGGACATTTGGATCGTCTCCATTGTCTCGATATATTGTATTAAGCTTTAGTTCATCACCCGCTGCATGTGTTCGTTTAGTTTTTTTGTCCCTTGCTAGTGTGGCCAGCGGCACACCTCCCCCACCTCGACCTCGGCAAAAGTTGGAGCTCATAGAAAGGGAAGGGATAGCTAGTTTTGTATAATTCGCGTGAATATTATCATTTGGGCCCAGCAGGCAGTTACGATCTGCTTTTGATCCCATGCTTTCGTTGCATGTATTTCCCCTTCGCCCACGAGCAAGAGTGCAAGTAACACAATCTCTCCCCTAAACCTGGGCAAAACGTGGAGCTCATTGTGAAGGAAGAGATGGATCTTTGACGGTGTGGCGTCAAAAGAGCCAATTCCCCTTCCCACAGTGTGTGCGTGAAAATCATGAGAGTCCAGGAGTTTACAAAGCGTGCACTGCCTTTTGTCTTATTTGTGTGTATGGGCTTCTACTAGCTTGGGTAGCTAGCGTAGACTGAATCGAATCAATCGTTCAGTGCTGTCACACACAAGCCAACTAGAAACATCAACACACCCGCACCGGGCCAAATAGTACATTGTGAGTCGGGCAAGCAACTGCTGGCACTAGTAGGGGCTATGCAGGGACTACCGGTAAGCAATGCAAAGGAGACGAAAACCAGGGCATCCGAGGAAGGACAGGGGCAGGGAATTCGAATTGACGAATCGAGTCGAATTGTATCCGATATTCGGAAGATCTTTCAATCTGCCTCGAGCAATAAGATGGACACCATGATCGGCCATCGGCTGATTGGTGCCGCTACAATAGCCAGACCAGCTACTGGATATGACATGCTAGGATATACCTCCACAATGAGCTGGTGGCTGATGCAGCGGCTCCGTGTTTCGGAAGAGCTCAGGTGGCCCCTGCCTGAGATTCGATTCAAGACTCCTCTCCCACTTCTCGATGTGGTGGATCTGTTCGACCCAAGTCTCTTTCCCATGACGGCTCTCTTCTTCTTGACTGTGAGACTTTGTGACCCCCTCCATTCATACCCCTGAGGCATCTTGTGATTATTTGCTTCTGATGTCAGCGCTGGTTGCGTTCGAGCTTTCATGTGGTTCGAACATGGATGCTACACTAATTCAGTCCGATCTGTTTTGGTTCCGAGTGACAGTCCAAGTGTTGATTAAACACTAGAGAGACTGTAGGCCATGGTGGAGCTTATTTTAAAGTCAGTCTAAAAAGAAAAGTGAGGAAACGCTTCGGTGGTCCAGTCGATTTCGAATTTCAGTCCCGGATACTCATGACTCAACACACTCCTGCCTCCATCCCTAAAAATCGGATGGAGGAGCATATCCCATAATCTGATCACGGAATTTCTTGAAGGCGGCTCCCTGCAATGGCTTCGACATAAAATCTCCTATCATTTTGTCCGTAGGACAATACTCGACCACAAGATTACCCTGTTGTATCTGGTCGGTAAGGAAAAAATAACGAATATTCAAAGCTCGCGTACGACTTGTAGAACTGTCCTTGCCGTTGTTTTCCAATTGGATCGTCGACTTGTTGTCTTGTTTGAGGACGGTATCCATGCGGTAACCCTGAGACTCCATAAATAAACGTGTCCACAACAGTTGTTGGACGGTATCATCGGCACCAACCAACTCTGCTTCGGTGCTGCTCCTCGTATTGAGCTTCTGCTTCTTCGACATGGTAATAATACCACCTTGTCCAAGAGTAGCAACTGCACCTGTGTGGGAACGGAAGTCAGGGTGAACAGCAAAAGCTGCATCAACGTACCACTTGATCACATTCAAGTTATCGGCAGAAAGGATAAGTTTGTCGTTACGCGTGCTGTCACAATAATGTAGCATACGTAATAAAGCTTCCCAATCGCTTTCAGTCGGAGACTGTACCCTCGTGCAAAGCACGGCGATGGTAGGGTGAATATCGGGGCGTGCTCGTTTACAGACGAACAACCCCTTGGCAGTAAATGTGTGGTATTCCTCCGCACGTTTCTGGTCCAGTTTTTCACCTGTTGAGGCGTGGAATAGAGTCTCTGCCGCTGGTGATGAAACTGTCACGTCGGGGTCAAACTTGATGGAAAAGTCATCAACCATCTTTCCAACATAATCGGTCATGTCCACGATTAACTTTCCGGGCTGTGAGAAGTCTAGGGTCATACCGAGGTAATCATGAATGTGCCCTCGTGTAGCCTTGACGGCACCCAAAGACCCGTACATCTCGTTGAGCCATTCCAAGAAAGCATCGTTCACTTTCGCATCCACGTGACCTGACATCAGATCGTCAACGTGGAATCCCAATGTGTGTTGCTTCCCGTTAATCATTCGGTTGCAAATACATGGGTCATAGGGATTAAACACAAAGCCGATGCTCTCCAAATCCTTTCGGAATTTGCGGTACCAGAGCAACGCTGCGACCAACATCCCATAGATTGCCTTCATCACTTGAGTGTAGAGAACTTTCTGTCCTCGCTCAAACATCACAAAGGGCTTGTACACGTCTGGTGCGATACTCACAAGCATATCCACCAACGCGCCTTGTATCTTCATAAATACCG